GTCTGTGGCCACCTGCAGTCACTCTTGACAGAATTTGCACCAAGGACTACAACATGGGCAAACCTAATCCGAAAGCTGAGAAAGATGTCATTGTAAGTAAAACCTTCAAATACTTTTAAATATATCTTGAAGCGACCAGTTCTAATGGCCTGTATCCATGAAGGAACTTGGTACAAATAGGATATTGAACGGACCCAATTGGGTTTTGGACAAATGTAATAAGCACACTATAGAAGAATAAAGTGACATAATTATGTTTGCATAATTTGTGGTAATGTCCTACATATTGTTTATATATTATTTTGCTATAAACGTAAGTTAAAGGAAAGTGTTAAGAATATATTTATTTTGCAGCTCCGCAAAGGCACTGGGGTCTGGATCCCCACATACGCCTTCCACCGTGATCCTCAATACTTCCCCAATCCTGACAAGTTCGACCCTGAGCGATTCTCAGAAGAAAACAGGCACACTATTAACCCGTTCGCTTACATGCCCTTCGGTGTTGGACCTAGGAATTGCATTGGTGGGTGTAAAAATAAAGGATGATGTTCCTGATGTACTTTCTGACTTACTAAGAATCTTAGAGTTAATGTTTTTCCTAGATGTGAGTCAAATAGTATCAACCCCTGGAAAATGTTTCAAAGTTATTTTTGTTTTCTCAGGGTCAAGATTTGCGCTTTGCGAGATAAAGGTTATGGTGTACCAGATCCTCAAAGAGATGGTGCTCTCCCCATCAGAGACGACCTGCATACCAGCTAAGTTATCAAAAGACACATTCAGCATGAGGCTGGAAGGAGGTCACTGGCTGAAGTTTTCCCCAAGGAATTAGAACAAAATTATACTGACCATGATAAAACTATAGACATTGGTGTAGGTTTGAAACGCGGTGTTCAAATAAATTGTAGTTTGCAATACTTTATGTTTGATATATAAGCTTTGATTAAGTACAAAATGTGAACAAAATGGAAATAAATATATTTGTTTGTTGTTTGTTTGTTTGTTTGTTTGTTGATTGTTTCAAAATAATTAGAATAGATTTTTATCCACTTTGTTTTTATTGATACCAAAGCTAATAAAATGTTTTGCTATGATTGTAGAACTAGATGTTGAGAATGTAAAACTTAAATCTATATTAATTATATGAATGGATCATATTCGGTAAAATATAAATCTGTTAATAAATTATTCAATCTGAAAGTGTAATTACAAACAAATTACATAATTATATGTGATATGTTTATATTTTTATGAATAAAATAATTACGCTTAACATTACGCTTACATGTAGTTTAAGTAAGATTAAGACTGTTTTAATGCAAATAAATACCCTAATACTATTTACTGTTTCTTTTATAACAACGACTTCTAAGTCAACTTCAATCTGTCGCACTTGGATCAGATGGTTGATGATAATGACAAATGGCTTGACATAATAATCGTCGTCATCATATCAGCCATAGGACGTCCATTGAGCAAATAGCTTCACTTGTTAATTTTCTTTATTGACGTTCAAAAGTGCCTCTATGGCCTAATTGAAATAAATGATTTTTACTTTGACTTTGACATTCCTGAAGCTAGGCCTCCCCCAATGACTATCTGATAGGCCAGTTCGAAGTGACATAATGTTTTGAGACAATTTGTTAATCTATACCAGCATACAATAAGTATTCTCTGTCTATATAATTCTCTTTCTTGTTCATCCATTCGACTAGTATTCAAATGCCATTCGTCTAGCTAAAGGGACAAGGTTGTTGTAACAGAAAATATTGCTTGCCAGTGCGAGCAGTGCCAGTGCTAGTAAAATACCGTTCTTTTTACATTGTCAGTCTATTTGTGACTTTGGCATATCACTCAAACTGATGAACCCTGTTTATGGTTGAAAGGGAACTTGTTCGGTATCTGAGTTTAAGAAAATTAAACTGTTAGAAGAGTATTCGGCTTTTTCATAACTTCATAACATCACGCCTTTTCTCGCCGAAGGGGTAAGCAGAGGTGCACATCACGTTACTAAATGCCACTGTACCATGTAACGCCTATTTTATTTTATCAGTCTCATGTAATAGTGGGTGAGCCTATTGCTATATACTGGGCACAATTCCAGGCTCCGTGATACTTTGCCCGACCCGGGACGAAACCGGGACTCGGCTTGTTTTAGTTGCAAAAATAATGAAGGGAACTTCCACTGGTCTGATTGATACAATACCTCAAATAAAATAATGGCTAATATACTACCAGGTCTGAGACTGAATTATAATCTGAAATATACATATAGGACACCATCTCCGACCTCCTCATCAGTTTAATCGATCCTGCAATGTTATCTGGAATCTAGATACCAACACCAATTTATACTTTTTTATCAATGAAGTAAATTGACTTTGGGTTTATTGCTATTCTCTTAATAAATGTGATGTAGATAGATGAGGATATTTTTGTTTTTGAAATAAAGCTATTTTCTTAGCCGACTGGACACCCGCGCTCCGGTAAACTTACTCACACTGAGAAACAACTCAAGTATTGTTTCATGATCTGATTGATCCTGTGAGATCACGGTATCAGCTCAAAAAGAGTGTCGAACCGGTCCATATGTGCCAAAGCGAAGTAATTCCTGAAAGAAAAAGAGAAAGAAAAGCCTGAAATAATTTAGAAGACAATGATGATTTTTTCAGTAAATAAAAACTATTTTTTCTTTTGTCAGACTTAAACTGACACTAAATGAAAGTGTGTTTGATTTTTTTATTTACTTTTAAAACAAATTGAGAATTCCAATTTGATGCAAAAAATAAGACATACTCACAACATACAATCTCGTACAAAATTCTCAAAGAACATCACTTTGAAATTGACAAATTTGAATTGAATTTGGGTAATTCGAAAGAACCCAATTAGAGACATATATCAAGCCACTCTTTTATTAGAAAAAAGCCACGATGGTGCCAATTAGGTCACCTGATGGTAGGTAATCTGCACCGCCCATGGGCACCCGTAACACTAGAGGAGTTTTGGGAAAGGGGATTTGGGGATTTCGGATGGTAGGGACGATTAAAAGTTAGGTGCAACCTCATTTACGCTGCGAAACATAATGGAAGTGTTGTTGTTCTACATCGGTTTTCGGCCGAGCCGACATTCGTACCGAAGTATACCTTACTCTAGGGCCGATGCCGATTCGGAGTCGCGGAGAACCTAACGGGTAACCGGGGCTCCGGCTCGACGTGCAGGAGAAGGAACGGGGTGGTTTTTAGTCAGTAAGAGTCTGAC